TAAACATCTTTATTTACACTTGCAAATATGAAAAGGCTAAATTTACATTTTGTTAATTCATTTGCAAAATTAGATAAAAAAATATATATTTTTATAAAAAAAAAATTTTAATTATAAAAAATATGAAAAAAATTTTTGTAAAAACTCAAAATGAGAAAAATTAGAAATCATAAATCAAAAAATACAAATATAGTGATGAGCGACACGCTAAAAAGATTTTTTTTTTTTTTTTTGAAACCCATAATGAAAATATTTACGTAATGTATATATAGACCCCGCAGTAAAAGTCAAATTTAACAGAGAAAAAAAAGATGATTTGGTTGTAAATTTGAATGAATTGATTTGGAAGGTCAAAAGGCAAAGTGAAAGAAAAAAGAACAAGGTCATAAAATCATAAAAATAAATTATTCTAACGATACATATATATATATATAAATAGAAAAAGCAAAAATTTTTGCGCAGGTTGGTCTCGTGTCACCAAAGTGTGTTCAAAAGCGCGCTCACGTTTCTCGTCTCTCTCCCTCTCACCAGAGAAAGTTTTGCCATAAGTTTTATGCGTTTATGGAGCGCAGTAAAATATTTTGTCATTTTGAAAAAAAAAAAAAAAATGTTTGTTCGATGATTTTAGTGTGGGACATTATATATATATATTATAAAAGGTTTGCAAACTAAATCTTGCCTGGCCAGTTCCAGGCAGATATGGGCGCGCAAGGCCAACGAAGGGTTGCCTCGTGCGAGAAGGGTTGGGATTCACTTTTCCTCCAAGAATGGTCCTCTCTCAACCCCATAGGATTTCAGGTAATCGTAATTTTAGACAGAAATGTCTACACTTTTGGAGAAAAAAAAAAATATCAAATTTCTTTTTTCAGTTTTTAGTAAAAAAAAAGGGATTTCCACTTCCGTTTTTATTATTGAGATAACGGAACGAGGAACATTTTTTTATATAAATCGCTCAATCCTTTTAAGGGGGTTGGGTTCAAGATGATTTGATTTTGTTGTAGAATGTTTTTTTTTATTCTTCCTTTCGAATGACAAATAGAAAAAAAAAAAATTAGAAATGTAGAATTTAAATTTATTTCCACTTTTTCCAATTTCCATGAACACTTCCGTTTTCAGTTGTATTTTTTTCCAATTTCTATGGACTTTTCCGTTTCCATTTCCACTTTTTCCAATTTCCATGAACACTTCCGTTTCCAGTTCTATTTTTTTTCAATTTCCATGGACTTTTCCGCTTCCATTTCCACTTTTTCCAATTTCCATGGACATTTCCATTTTTCCAATTTTTCTATTACCACTTGCACTTTTTCCAATTTTCATGGACTTATTCGTTTCCATTTCCACTTTTTCCAATTTTCATGGACTTTTTCGTTTCCATTTCCACTTTTTCCAATTTCCATGGACACTTCCATTTTTCCAATTTTTCTATTTCCACTTGCACGTTTTCCCATTTCCATAGACATTTCCATTTTTCCAATTTTTCTGTTTCCACTTGCACTTTTTCCAATTTCCATAGACTTTTCCATTTCCATTTTTCCAATTTTTCTGTTTCCACTTGCACTTTTTCCAATTTCCATAGACTTTTCTGTTTCCATTTCTATTTTTTCCAATTTCCATGGACTTTTCCGTTTCCATTTCTACTTTTTCCAATTTCCATGAACACTTCCGTTTCCAGTTCTATTTTTTCCAATTTCCATGGACTTTTCCGTTTCCATTTCCACTTTTTCCAATTTCTATGGACATTTACATTTTTCCAATTTTTCTATTTCCACTTGCACTTTTTCCAATTTCCATGGACTTTTCCGTTTCCGTTTCCACTTTTTCTAATTTCCATGGACATTTCCATTTTTTCTATTTCCACTTGCACTTTTTCCAATTTCCATTCCTACATCCATTTAGATTGGAGAAATTGATAATGGAAGGTGGAATGAAAATTGGAAACAGTGGAAATGGAAGTAGGAATAGAAATAGGAAAACTGTAAGTAGAAATGGAATTGGGAACAGAAATAGAAAAAGTGGAAATAGGATTAGAAATAGGAAAAGTGGAAATAGAAACAGTTAAAGTGGAAATAGAACAGGAAAAGTGGAAATCGAAGTGGGAACAAATACAAAAAATGGAAGTGGAAATGGAAATAGGTAAAGTGAAAGTGGAAATAAAAATGGAAATTGAAGAAAGTGGAAATAAAAATGGAAATTGAAGAAAGTGGAAATGAAAATGGAAATAAAAGATAAAATGGAAATTATAAACAGTAAAAGTGAAAGGAATAAAAATGATTTTACGCAATCATAAAAAATAAACACTCCATTTTCCACAAATCTTTCCATTTGAACAAAAAAATTTCCCTTCCCTGACAATAAAACCAAAATTCTCCAATAGGAGCAAAAAAAATTTATATCGAGCATAAAACACGTTATTCCCGAGAGTATCAATTTTCTTTCATGTTGCAAAAAAAATCATCACAATTCTTTCCCGCGCGCACATATATATGAAAAATAATTCGCCACGCCAAGTAGAATGATTCTCGCGAGTTCGTCCTTCGACGCAAGTCAGCATAACGACGAACGTGTGTGGACGTTCTTTGGTCGTCGCGGATCCTTCCTTCGTCGCGGTTCAGTGTCCTGTCCAAGGACTTTTGCTTCGAAGGCTTCCTACATATATAAAACACGTACATACATGACATGTGTGGGTCCCAAGTCTCCTTTTTTAGTTTGTTCGCAATGAGAATCAACGCTCCTCTAACCCCCTCTCTTTTTTTTACAACCTCAAATTACCCACGGAAGGAAGAAAAATATTATGTATCACTGGGAAATACAAGGCTGCGGGTTGTCGAACTTTTTTCAACCATTTTATTTTAATTACTAAAAGAGTACTTTAGGTACAGAATTTTGGGGGGTATTTTCCAAAAATGAGGAAGGATTTTTTATAGAAAAAGAGGTTAGAATGAAAAGATAAGGAAAGAGAGACAGAGGCGAAAAGAGGAAGAAGGTAAAAAAAAAAAAAGAAGGAAGAGTGTTGCGAACAAAGAGAGAAAGAGAGGAGGACGGATAAGCCGAGGTTGGCGCAAGCGAGAGGGCACATGGCCTTGGCCGCCGCTGCGGGGTAATTCAGTCAAGGTTTCGGCCGATGAACTTCCTCCGTTGGAAGGAAGGAGACTCGTTGCCGAATGGTGGGAGAGAGTTGGGTCCAATAGTGACGGCCCTCGGTCCAACGAGCTCGATTCTGATTGGCCCCCGGATGGAACGATCGGCATTGTACTGGGCCCTACTCGCTTGTCAGTGACCTCCAACATTGAAAATACGATGAACTCGCCTCGTCAGCGTCCCTCTCTCTCTCTCTTTATTTTCTTTCTCAACTTCTTTTCTCTCTCAGTCTACTACATACTAGGTAGCCAGGGCGTATATTGTAGACACAGGCAGAGAGGCTCTAAACTCCCCTCCACTCCTTTGGTTTGTTGTAAAGTAAGGGCTGCTCCAGGTAACCAACACTCGACAGCGCCAAACTCAAGTCAGACCAACGCGAACCTCCCTCGAGCGAAGACTCACTTTCACTCTCTCTCTCTCGATATAAAAGTCGCGTGCTCATGTAATTTTTTTTTTTCTGTGACTATTTTTGAAAGTGGCGGAGAAATTTTTTTTCAAAGTGTGGTGTATTTTTTTTTTTTGAAATGTGGAGTGTTTTGTGTGTGCAAAAATTTTGGGATTATTGAACCACTGGATTAATAATAATAATAATAATTTTTTTTTTCTAAATAAAAGAATCAGTTCAAGATGATTCTTGCACCGGACAGTAGTATGCAGACATTGGTAATACCACCACCTGCACCAGAATCACCAATGTCATCAATGTCCTCACATTGTTCGCGAGGATCAATGGTGTCGTGCATGTCAAATATGTCCCCTTATAGAGTTAATCAAATCCCTCATCTTAATCCTAATATGCCAACTATGGATTCAACTGTCTCGTCAGCTAGGCCAGAGCCTGAACTTAATATAGGTATAATTTTGTTAATTTAATTTCTTCGAATGAAAAATTTCAAAAATTATGGGTACTAATTAAGGACATTTAAATTCTTTTCTGCTTTTCGGTAGGAATTTTAAATGTCATTTACAAATGGTAGAATAATTTTTACAGAACTCTTTATTTCATAGAGGTAAATTTTCAAATATTATTTGCGATTCCAAATAGATTCGATTTTTTTTTTCAAAAATTATTGTCAAACTGTTGGGTAAAAATTCGAGTACAAAAATGATGACACTGAAGTTACCAACGTTGAATTGACGAAAAGAATTTTTTTTTTTTTCTAAGATTGATTATTTCCCCGCCTTGGTTGAGGATTTTTAGTGTTTAAAGATGTATTTGGGACCAGAATAAAGAAGTTTCAATTTAAAAAAATTGGTTCTTAGCCTTTAAACTAAACTGAAAACGAAAAATTCGTTCGTTTATTCGTCGAATCAACGTTGGTAACTTCAGCGTCATCAAAAATGAATGATTTTGCTACTCACGAACAGTATATAAATTAGAAAATTTGCTGCAACGATTCCTTTTTGTACAAAAGTTGAAAAAATCATAATTAATGAAACTAGAAATCTTATTTGAAAGGTCAGTAACCCGATCACCAAGAAAACTATCCTTTCTCTAGATTTTTTTTTTCGAGTAATGCTGGAAAGTTGAAAAATCGATGATGTCGAACAGAATTGACACTTTTTTCTTTCTCTCTCTCTCTCTCGATCAAAATGAGAAGTTAATCAGTGCACTCGAGCAGTGAGTGCGCTGAGTGAAAGCAGAAAGTTGTAACAGCGATGCTGTAACATGGCGCTGGAGAAAGTGTTCTTCTTTCACTCCCACCCATTGCTGTATCTCTTTCTCTCTCTTTCTCTCTCTTGAAACGCGATTCCAATATATCTTCCTTTTGCACAATTATAAAAAAAAATTTATACAAAAAATTTATAAAATTACAAAAGAAAATGTTTTAATTTAAAAATTATTTTTTTTTTTTTTACAGAATTTGATGGAACCACAGTCTTATGTCGAGTTTGTGGTGATAAAGCCTCAGGTTTTCATTATGGAGTTCATTCCTGTGAAGGATGCAAGGTAAGAGAAAAATTCAATATCAAAAATAATAAAAAAAATGTAAACTCGCAAATTAAACTATCGTTATTTCTGCGAAATTTCTTTATAAATGACAGTGAAAGCATTTGAATTCAAATGAAATTAATTTCATTTAAGCAAAATAAATTCACGATAGTTTACTACGATTTTACAATTAAAATCATTTTTTTACAACACACTTCTTTTTTTCAATTTCCATAATTATAATCAATTTTTTTGAAAATATTTTTATTCTAAACATTTTAAAACCGAAAACAAAAATTCTTCATAAATACATTATTGTAATTAAATTAAATTTAAATTGTAAATAAATTAAAATTTCTAATTAATTTAAAATTGAAAAAAAGAATTTAAGAATAAATTTAAGAATGAATAAAAACAAATAATTATGAAAAATTGACCTAGAAAAAAAGGGGGGAAAAAAAAACGAAATTCTTTTTGAAAAGAGGTGTGTTCGTATAAAATGAGGTGTTTTAAGAGGTGGCCAGGAAGTGAATGTTTGTGTATATGTGTATGTGTGAGACAGTCAAGGTTATTATGTAAAAGTTATCAACCGCTTAGTATATTGACCTTGACGCTCGAGGAAGTCAAAGGCCTCGAAATTTTTTTAATTTCTCATCGTATGTCTCGTCCAATGACATTGTAGTTCAAGGATTAGAATTTAGTATTAGCCTCTGCGTTTACTATTGAAACGAAAAATTTTTTTTTTCAAATATAGATTATATTTCTTGGACCTTGAAATGTGAGATCTGATGGACCTTTCCTTTCAATTTTCAATAGTGATCAATGAATGTAAAAAAAGCGGGGAAAATGTTGCGTAATTTTTTTCTCTCCTGCGTGGGAAGAATTTTTAGATTTTTAATAATTTGGTAATAATAAAATAAAATTAAGAACGAAAATTAAAAAAAATTTAACGAAAATTAGAGAAATTTTTATATCGAGCGAAAGTGCAGTGTTGTTTTTTGATCCGAAACATGTTTTGCACGACAGGAATGGGGTCTGAAGTTCAATTTTGTAGACAATTGACCGGAATTAGTGGACAATAAACAGGAAATCAGGAACTAAACATTAATATTTTAATGTGTGTGTGAGAAAGAGGGGGAAAAAAAAGTTTTTTTTTTTTGGACGAAAAAATTCGCAATAAAAGTCGAAGGCCGACGAGTCAACGTCCTCGTGGTCTTCGAACTGCGAAGGAAGGTTTTCAGCATAAAAAAAAGGTGGGGATTATATCTTCCCCACTCTCTTTTGTCGATTACCCCTTCTCATTTTATAAGTCCAACATTCACACCACCTGGTGTCGCGAATCGTCGATCTCATTCTCTCGCAGATTCACCTCAACTATCATGGTGAACGCTTCCATTCGCTACAATTTTTACGTTAATCATCACAAAAAAATAAATTTTATTTTTCAAAATAGAATTCTCTCTAAACCACATTCGATAATTGTCGAGGTTTTGCCTTTCACGCCTTTTATTTCGTTTTTGCGGTGATTGCCTCAACTTTGCTGGTTTTTGGAGACTTTTTCTCTCGCAGTAGGAAATAAGAAGGGAAAGGACACATCAAGAATTCCCGCAGCGTTTAAAAATTGTGCGACAGGTTGAAAAGAAGCGAACCCACGAAATCATTCACCTAGTCCGCAAGAAGGGAAAGCATTTTGAAACTATATAATATAGAGAAGTGTCCTTTTAGCGCAGGTACACAATGATGAGAGAGAGAGAGAGAGAAAATCTTGGAATGTCCCTTTCATGTTTATTTTTTTTTTCTAGAAAGGAAGAGAGAAAAAAAAAAATAGATCGCCCTATATTTTTTTCAATGCAACCACCTGGACATCATGACGACGGTTTTCCGTCACGTAAGAGAACTCCCTCATGAAATTCGTGGAAAAAAAACTAATGGGCATCTGGTCCCCCCGCCTTCAGGGTCAGTTGACTGGGTCAGTAACTTATGGTCGCGAGCGGCGCCTTAATAGACGTTAAAGCAATGCGTGACCTAGCCGCAAGCAGTAAAGCGCGTCTTGGACGCTGAAAAAGAAGAGGGGCCCCCGTGGAAAGGGAAGGGAACGCGGAAGAGAGCACTCTGGGTATCTTTAAGACTAGGTCGCTCGGTCGCACTACGGTTTTACTATTTTATATATATATATATATATTCCATATAACATGGCGCTACTTTTCTCGGACGCCACAGAGCGAACTCTCATGGTCGTCGTCACCAATCCATATTTGGACCGCTATACCTCTTGTCCATCCAATTGCTTTTACTCACTCAATTCAGTTGAGTCTCTGCATTTTGTTGAATGTGCAAATTCGTACAATCGAAACCATGGGAATTTTGTTGAAATTCTTTTGCATTGAATCCTTGTCCAAAATATTTTTGATTTACTGCAATTCTTATTGGTAGCATTAATTGGGGGTTATTTTTTCTCCTATGGGAAAAAAGAAAATTAAGTTTTAGAATTGTACCGGGGAATTTCAAATTCACCTCAGAATTTCAAGTTGAGAATTGTAAAATTCACCATAGAATTCAAAATTCACAACAGAATTGCAAATTTTACCATAGAATTCAAATTTTACCGCAGAATTTTAAGTTAACTGTAAAATTATAAAGCTCACCATAAAATTGTACTGTTCACCACAGAATTTTAGAATTCACCATAGAATTCTAAAATTCACTGTGGAATTCAAAATTCATCAAAAGAATTCAAAAATTATCAAAAAAAAATTTCAAGTTGTTGCGAGAATTCCTCTCTAAATCTGAATTAGTAAAAATGTTTACTAATAATTAGTAAAATTTTACTAATTCAGAAGCAAAAAGTGAGTCACTAATTCAAATTAGTAACCATTTTTCCTAATTCAGATTTAGAGAGCAATTCTCGCAACAACTTGAAATTTTTTTTTAGTAAATTTTGAATTCTATTGATCAATTTTGAATTCCACTGTGAACTTTAGAATTCTATGGTGAATTCTAAAATTCTGTGATGAACAGTCAAATTTTATGGTGAGCTTTATAATTTTACAGTTAACTTAAAATTCTGCGATAAAATTTGAATTCTATGGTAAAGTTTGCAATTCTGTTATGAATTTCTGAATTCTATGGTGAATTTTACAATTCTCAACTTGAAATTCCGGGGGTGAATTTTGAATCTCATGGTGAATTTAAAATTCCTCGCTACAATTCTAAATTCTGAATTATTTAATTCTGAATTAGTTAAATTTTACTAATTGTTAGTAAAAGTTACTAATAATTAGTAAAATTTTACTAATTGTTAGTAAAAGTTACTAATAATTAGTAAAATTTTACTAATTGTTAGTAAAAGTTACTAATAATTATAGTAAAATTTTACTAATCCAGAAGCAAAAAGTGAGTCACTAATACAAATTAGTAAACATTTTTACTAATTCAGATTTAGAGTGTGTAAAGCTCAATATAGAATTCAAAAATTCAACGGCGAATTTTAACTTTAAAAAATTTAAAATTCATCATACAAAGAGTTTCAAATTTTTTTTTTTTTTTTTGTATCAAATAAAACCGTCATATCAAGAATGATAATTTTTCATTGGCTACCGATACATTTAACCAAGGAATGATTGAATAGAAATAAATTTCTTCTAAAGAAAAAATCAATTCAATGAAACACGATTTTTTTTTTTCACTGAATAGATTATGGGGGTTTATTTATTATTTCTCCTGAATAGATGAGAGGATAAAAGAAATTGGAACGATTTACAGAAAGAAAATCATTTTCACATATTTTGAAAGTCTTCTATGTTGTACTACTACTACAAAAAAAATAGGTCAAAAATATAATATTTCACAAAACATTTTTGATTTTCCATTTCTTTTTCATTAAAATCAACAATAGACGGAAAAATTTTTTTAAATGAAACTTAAAATTATTTAATTTCAATGCACCTCACCAATATTTTCAATTCACCAAAAAATGCATGAACAATATTTATTTCTGGCATGGGTTTCCTAGGCGACACTTAATTATTACTAACGAACATATATTGATCTTGTCTTAAAAATAAAGAATATAATTTTGATATAAAATGGAAAAAGATAAAAAAAAAAGTGAATGAGAAATTATATAAATTTTGATAGGAATTTAGTGCATACAAATAAGTAAAACGCACTCTTCCTCTCCCACATATATATATATATATATATATATATATATATATATATATACAAGAAGGGTGAAATAGATGCGTGGGGTGCATTAACCCTCCGGTCGTCGACCTCACGAGCTAGTTACGTCACGTGTGCTTCCCTCTCCGTACCATCACTTTTGATGTCGTAACGAGTCGTGATCTCATTTTCATTTGATTGCGCGCGAGTATTTCGGTACTCACACTCGGGGTTACTGACCCCGCTCTCTGCATCTACTTTAGAATCGGGTCAGCAGCTTATTATTGTGGTAGGTGTACCACCGAGAGGCAATATATCTGCGGAACTCTCTTTATAGATAACACATTTCGCGAACGGCAAAAAAAAAAAACGATAACGTATACATATATACAAAATATCAATTGCATTGCAAAAATCTATTTAAGTCCCTGGGATAAAGACTCGATTTTCTCAAATCAACGAAAAGATTAAAAGTCCATAAAATCTGTGTCACCTTATCTTATCTTTCGATGCGCCTCAAAATTCATTGTCTTTATGTGTGTTTTTTTCATTCGCAATTTTTAAAAAAAATCATCTTTTGAAAAGTAAAATGGATGGGAGATTAAGATATATAAAGTGCATAATTGTGGACATAGTTATCGAACCCCGGACGACTAGAAAATTCTTGGGGTCGGAGCGCGCGCGGTTAATGCCCCCGAGCGGCGCAGTATTGTCGCGGTTTCAAATTGCGCACGCGCAAAAGTTACGTACGTCACCGTTACTCCGTTTCGTACCTTCCTCCCCCTCCTCATTGCCTCCTCCTCCTCCTCCTACTCCCTCTCGCCAACCCCCTTAAAAACGTTCACCTTCCCCTACCCAAGCACTCCACTTGCAATCGCACGCGGCGCTCCGGTCGTTGGCCTCGCGGCCACGTCGTATATGCTATATACACTCTGTGCAATCTTGTGCCGTCATGACCGATTCTGATATAGTTGCAACAGTTACCAAATGTAACGTGTATAACACACGTTTTCGTCCAAAAACAAAATCCTCATCAAAAATAGATTTTTCTCATTATATAGTAATTTTCAAAAATTTTGAAATTATTTTAGCGAGGAAACTTTTCATCTCTCTCTGAAATTCATTTTATGTAATTTTTCTTGAAAAGAATTTAAAAATTCCGTAAGCTTAAGAATGATGGACTCCTCTTATGTCATGGAAGAGTTTAAACGAGGTCGTAGAACTATGGAAAATGAACACAATGACCGATTGAAAATGGAAGGGTGGGGTGCAAGTGTTAAAATTGGAATAGCCGAATACAGGAATAGCGTCATGGCAACCCCCGTGACAAGGGAGGATGATGAGAGTGGAACGCCTGCGCCGAGAAACTGGAGGCAGTAGCGCGAAGGTGTTTCAACCCCTTCATGACCCGTTTGGGGAATGCAACCGTTGAAAAGAGATCGATGTATACCCACCTCCAGATTCTCCCTCATCACCCACTGCCCCTCTTTTTCCTATTCCAATGGGGTTCAACCAGGGTTAGTGCCCTCGTCCGGGCGAAAACTTGCATAGATTTTTGCTACCAATCTTTTGTCAGCAACAAAAATTTATATTTATTTTCACCGACAACGATATCCGTTAATTTAGTATGGATATTGAAATTTTTTGATAAATAAAACTTTCTATTTTCAACGATAAGGAATGCTAATTTTTGTACAATTAGTAGAAATCTTTTTTGGAAACATTTGTCCGTAGATTCATTTTTGGAACAAGTAAAATGCTATGCGGAACAACTAGGAAATAATAGAAAATTTTGGCAAACATTTGTCCTAAAAATTGCTTCAATTTGGAACAAGGAGGTTCTAATTTTTGTACAACTACGGAACTCTAGGAAATTCATAAATCTTTTGGTAACCATTTCCTACAAAATTGCTCCGTTTTGGAACAAGTTGATCCCTAATTCTTGTAAAACTACTCTAGAAATTCCACAAATCTTTAGGAAACCTTTAGGAAACTGTTTTCCTAAAACAATGCTCCAATTTGGAACGAGTCAAACCCAATTCATGTAGGCTTACGAAACTAAAGGAAATTCAGAAATATTTGAGAAACCTTTTTCTTTTTCCAAAAAGAATTGCTCCAATTTGGAACCTAATTCTTGTAGGCTTACGAAACTAAAGGAAATCCAGAAATCTTTTGGTAACCATTTCCTACAAAATTGCTCCGTTTTGGAACAAGTTAATCCTAATCCTTGTAGAACTACTCTAGAAATTCTACAAATCTTTAGGAAACCTTTAGGAAACTGTTTTCCTAAAACAATGCTCTAATTTGAAAGCCAATTCTTGTAGGCTTCCGAAACTAAAGGAAATCCAGAAATATTTGAGAAACCTTTTTCTTTTTTCAAAAAGAATTGCTCCAATTTGGAACCTAATTCTCGTATAACTACGGAACTCTAAAAAATCCATAAATCTTTTGGTAACCTTTTCCTACAAAATTGCTCCGTTTTGGAACAAGTTGATCCCTAATCCTTGTAGAACTACTCTAGAAATTCCACAAATCTTTAGGAAACCTTTAGGAAACTGTTTTCCTAAAACAATGCTCTAATTTGGAACGAGTCAAACCCAATTCTTGTAGGCTTACGAATCTAAAGGAAATCCAGAAATATTTGAGAAACCTTTAGCAAACTCTTTTTCCAAAAGAATTGCTTCAATTTGGAACCTAATTCTCGTACAACTACGGAAGTCTAGAAAATCCATAAATCTTTTGGTAACCGTTTCCTACAAAATTGCTCCGTTTTTGAACAAGTTAATCCTAATCCTTTTAGAACTACTCTAGAAATTCCACAAACCTTTAGGAAACTGTTTTCCTAAAACAATGCTCTAATTTGGAACCCAATTCTTGTAGGCTTACGAAACTAAAGGAAATCCAGAAATATTTGAGAAACCTTTTTCTTTTTCCAAAAAGAATTGCTCCAATTTGGAACCTAATTCTCGTACAACTACAGAACTCTAGGGAATCGAGAAAAAAATTACTCCAAAAAGATCCAAATTCTACAACCTGGAATTCTTTTCTCTAAAATGACTATATTGCAAACACGCGTTATGAATAAACTTTCTCTCTTGTATATATATAAACTCGCACTTGCAGTGTTGAGTATATAGTCGGATGAATGATTAGTTGTCGATTAGCTTATCGAGTGAAAACACGGATAAATGACGTATGAAGTTGTTTGATATCGAGACGATTTTCTGCAACCCGTTTTTGCATGATCTTTTTCTGGTTCTCACGATGATTAGAAGCAAACTGTATAGATCGTTGTTTCTGTATTTTTATTTTTTTTTTCTAAAGGGAGGAGTCTTAGGAATCGCGTCGTCATTGCAAGGTGCAACGGTACCTTCGTTCCTCGCTGCACTATAAGTTGAGGTAGGCGAGGTCGCGAGTTCTGACGTCATTTAAAAGAGTCACTTGAATCGTCCTCTTTGGTCGTTGTCGTCGTCGTTGTCGTCGTTTATATATGCATATTGTGCGCAAGCGTCAACAACGACGTTCCACCACATACAGTTCGTTACATAATCCACAAGACAGAGAGAGAAAGAGAGAGAGGTCGTTGACCGATAGCCGAGGAGGGACTCCCGCTGACCTGTCCTTCTTTGGACCTGGGCTTTTCCCGAACTTACTCGAACCAGGACAATGACCGGAGATAGTCGACCCCGTAGCTAAATTTGCCTCCCCCACGGGAAATTGGTTACTCTTTTTTTTTTTTTTATGATACAAATTATGATTCATCGAGAAATCTGTAAAAATAAAATGGGGGGTCAATTATATGTTGATATAGTTATTTGTGGGTAGAGGGGTCGAAGAACTTAGAGGGTGGGACACATTATGAAGTTAGAGAGAGAGAACTAGAGGGAGGGGTCGATGGGGGAAAGGAACCCGTTACTAGAGCGATCGGCGCGCGCTAATGGTAGCACGAGTGAGATAAACTCATAAGGGGTTGCCAATGTGCAAGAGAGAAAATGAGGGAGCGACGAGCGTGTATAGAGACTCTCACTTTCACGCGGTGAACTGCGGGTGAATGTCCGGGAATTGGGTCAGAGGGACCCCCACTTCTCTCTCTCTTTCTCGCGAGTCAGAAGCAATATGCTCTCTGTACTAGAGAGAGCCAGTCCATAGCCAAACTCCGATATCAACGGACGCGTCTTTACTAGATACAAGTCGCGTGTGTGTTCACAAAAAAAAAAAGTGCACTCTTTTTATTTTTTGCAAAAAAATACTTTATGTGCCAGTGATTAATTCAAGTTTTGTGTGAAAGATTATTCTTCTCATTTTTTTTTTTTTTTAATTTTGGAGTGGAAAGAAAAATTGTGTGGAACGAATTCATGGGGTGCTTGTGTGATAACGATCTGGCCACCTCGCGTTCGAGGGACAATTGTTCCTCGGAGTCATCATCTGACAGCGACGGTCAAATTGACGAAGGTTTTATTGGTGATTCACAGGGTTTTTTCCGAAGGAGCATCCAACAGAAAATTCAATACAGGCCTTGCACCAAGAATCAACAGTGTAGCATTCTTCGAATCAACAGAAATCGTTGCCAGTACTGTCGTCTCAAGAAGTGCATCGCTGTTGGCATGAGTCGAGATGGTATGTATCTATTTTTTTTATACTCCAAATTTTTCTAAAAAAAACTTTCCAAATGTTGTTTTCGAGCGATGATCATGCAACGATTTCGAGTCGTGTCGCAAGCAGCGAAAGTGGAGAAAGTATTTCATGGTATACAACCGTGGATTTTCTCCCACCTTTTTTTTTACATTGTGAATAGATTTTTTTGGAATTATTAAAAATTTAATTTAGTCGGTGTGGAATAAATTTAGAAATGACAGATTATTAGATATGGAAAAAAATATATTTTTGATAATTTTTTTCATTAGGTGAATTTTTTGCGAATTAGAAAAAAAAAACCCCTTATGATAGGAAGGTGCTTCGGGGTCAATAGTCGGTCGTTGCTCGCCTTGCAAGTGGTTCCGTCAGTAGAAGGAGTACCGCTACGCGCCGCTACGTCCTCAGAGTAACCCTCTCTCTATCTAATTCCTCCCACCGAATAGCACCCACTCTCCTTTCCCTCCTCCTCCTCCTCCTTTCTTAGTGCTCGATTTTTTCGGTTCAGCGGCACGATAATGCCCCCTTCTCCTACTATCAAAGTGACAACGCGCCGTCGCGTGGCGCCTCGCGGAGACCTCACGAACTTCACTCTTCATAACTACACATATAATCCCCCTCTCTTTTGATCTTCTTTTCCAGTTTTCCCCTTACTTGAAATTCACCTGGCAGAGAGCGCGCGCATGTGTCCCGCCAAACTATACCAACTCGCGAATCTCCTTTTCAATAGGCGCTCAGCCCTCAAACGTTATTCATCTAAAGAAGAAACAAATGCTGATCCTAATTAGAGCTACCTCCCCCTTATGTTTTATAATAAAATTTTCCAAGTATAAAAGTTTTTTTTATCAATATTAGAATAATCAAAAATAGTAGGATTTTTAGAAAAGGTCATCGGCAGCTGAGAAAAACGAGGGGTTGTTCAAGGTCACAAGGGTAAGCTACCCTTGGGGTAATCCTCACACCTGCGCACACACTTCACCCTCAAGTTGCGTTGTTCGTTTAGTTCGCGCCACGTACGTCTCTATATATGTATAATATAGGTCGGTGGTACGCCTCGCGCGGCTATCGTTGAAACCAAGTTCAAGGCCAAAGGCTCGGCAAAGGCCACAATCGCGCCGGCTTGGTGGGGGCCGTTTGATGACTGAATAAGTGGGGGGGCTGTTGAACGCGACTCGCTGAACGTCACTCAGTCGGCGGTGATGCTGTCTCGCGTTTACACGCGTTATCGAAACGCGCTCAAGCCTTAATAAAAAAAACGAAAACAAAAATTAAAATTCCGTGACCAAGTGCCATTCTGTGATTGCATTGGAAATCAAATTTACCATCAGTTTGTGCTGGGGAATTATATATATTTTTTTTCATTGATGGAATAAATAATCAGAGTGCAATCGAAACTATTTTTTGTGGATTTTATATATAGGCGGGAAAATTTTTTTTTTTTCAAAATTTTGCTCCTGCCCAACGTCATGGGAGACGAGCTACCGATCCTTAAAGGGATCCTCAACGGTGTCGTCAATTATCATAATGCCCGTAGGTGTTGATTCTTTTGACCACGTGTATTGATAATTTTTTAATCATAAATTATTATTAAATGAAGTTTCTTGATCAGTGAACCATCTCTTTGGAACTTTCTATTTGTGTTGCCTGGAGCCAGTATACTTTCGTCGCGTGAAAGTATCGCGCGCGCGCGCTCACTTTCCCCTATTGGAGTCTCTCATTCTCCTTGGAATTGTGTCTGACATTGTTAAATCGTTGACAATGATGCGAGATCCTTTCCGCGTCACGCGATCTATGACCATCAAGAAAGGCCACTTGTTCATTAAGAGAGTGATTCACTGATCATTTATCAAATTGAGATTCATTTCCTTGATAGAATCTTTTTTTGTGTTTTTAACGATCACAAGATGGAATGATTTTTTTTTTGTTTCTGTTGCAGCTGTTCGATTCGGGCGCGTGCCTAAAAGAGAGAAGGCAAGAATTTTGGCTGCAATGCAGCAGAGTTCTCACAGTCGCTCTCAGGAGAAGGCAGTAGCAGCCGAGCTTGAGGATGAACAACGACTATTGTCTACTGTTGTTCGTGCTCATTTGGATACGTGCGATTTCACCAGAGACAAAGTTGCCCCGGTTCTTGCCAGGGCGAGAGAAACTCCAAACTACACAGCATGCCCACCAACCTTGGTTAGTGTTATTGGATTTTTATGTGTTGTTGTTAACGAGTCACAGACTTTGTACACTCGAGCTTTATAGCTTGTCGAACGCGGAAACAGAACCAGACGTCCTCGGCTCGAAAGTATTTTATCGAAGGACGTCTGGAAATCATTGTTCCGATATTCGGCGAGTTTTTCAATAACTGTGTTTTGAAGTAGTATTTATGTGTGTTTTTTTCTTTTTTTTTGTTACAGGCTTGTCCATTGAATCCAAATCCACAGCCGTTGACAGGCCAACAGGAATTGTTGCAAGACTTTTCCAAAAGGTTCTCGCCGGCAATACGTGGTGTGGTGGAATTTGCAAAACGCATTCCTGGCTTCAGTTTATTGGCTCAGGATGATCAAGTTACTTTACTAAAAGCTGGAGTATTCGAAGTTCTATTGGTACGATTGGCCTGTATGTTTGACGCGCAAACCAACAGTATGATCTGTCTAAATGGCCAAGTGCTCAAGCGAGAGTCCATCCACAACAGCAGCAATGCAAGATTTCTTATGGATTCAATGTTCGACTTTGCAGAGAGAGTAAACTCACTGAGATTGTCAGACGCTGAATTGGGTCTCTTTTGTTCTGTGGTGGTGATTGCCGCAGATCGACCCGGACTAAGAAACACTGAACTCGTTGAACGCATGCACAACAAATTACGCAATGCCCTTCAAACAGTTTTGGCTCAAAATCATCCTCAACATCCCGATATTTTGAGAGAGCTTCTCAAGAAAATACCTGATCTCAGAACTCTCAACACTCTTCATTCGGAAAAATTGTTGGCTTTCAAAATGACTGAGCAACAGCAACAATTGCAAGCTCAACAGCAACAGGCTCAACACGCCGCTTCCATGCAACAACATTGGCCTATGGAGGAAGATCCAGTTGTTTCCTGGGGTTCCGTCTCGGACATTGCACTCGACGAGGCTGTCAAGAGTCCCCTTGGCAGTGTCTCAAGTACAGAAAGCACGTGCAGTGGAGAAGTTGCAGCATTAACGGAATATCATCACGTGGCAGCATCCAGCGGTCATCACGCTTCCAGTGCACCGCTACTCGCGGCAACTCTCGCCGGTGGTTTGTGTCCTCATCGTCGAAGAGCCAATTCCGGTAGCACGAGTTCCGGTGATGACGATATGCATCGCGCCTCCCTCGCGAAAACACCTCAACCACCCCAGTGTCCGCGTTTCCGTAAATTGGACTCGCCAAGTGACAGTGGAATTGAATCGGGTACCGAGAAAGCCGACAAACCGGCAAGCAGTAGCGCGAGTAGTGCACCCACATCAGTATGCTCGAGTCCACGTTCCGAGGACAAGGAAGTCGAAGACATGCCAGTGTTAAAGCGAGTCCTTCAAGCACCACCTCTCTACGATACCAATTCACTCATGGACGAGGCCTACAAACCTCACAAAAAGTTCCGAGCTCTTCGCCAAAAGGATAGTGCCGAAGCTGAACCAGCTGTTGTCCAACACACTCAATCCCAACTTCATCTTCATTTGACATCACCTCCAGCGCGAAGTCCATCTACCCAAATGCAATCTCACTGTCCACAAACAGCGAGCCTACTCAGCAGCACTCATTCCACCTTAGCCAAAAGTCTAATGGAAGGTCCAAGAATGACCGCCGAGCAAATGAAGCGCACAGACATCATACACAATTACATCATGCGTGGTGAGGCAAGTCCACGATCACCCACAACGTCACCATCGCCCGCCGAACAATGTGCATCGACGACAACCATCACACGCAGTCCCCAGGGATCACAGGGTCTCCTTCAGTGCGCCACCTCAGCATATTCCACATCAAGATGGCCCGCAACTTCCGTCATTACAACGACAACCGGTGCCCGTCAACAACACCAGCAACAACAACATCAGAACAATCATCATCACAACAATAATCATCACCATCATCAGCATCATCAGTCTTCAGACTATTTAGTCGTTGGCAATTCACCTGCATCGTCACCAAGATATCTCTCGGCAGCGGCGACGAGTAGCACGAGTCCAAGGCCTACCTCAAGCACCGCGGCAACTCTCGTCCTATCCGGATGTCCAAGTAACATGATGGAACTCCAAGTTGATATTGCCGACAGTCAACAGCCGTTGAATCTTTCCAAAAAATCACCATCACCATCCCCAAGGCCTTTAGTTGGACCCTGCAAGGCCCTTTCTCTTGAGGCGTAGTGCTTTTTACGAGTGGCAATGAATTCATCGCCTTCATCTCCAAAAAAGTGCCAGGACGCTCCAAGCGCGTGACAAAACCAAATAATTTATTAAAAAAAAAAAAAAAAGTGAAAAAAAAACACAGGTGGGTAATCACAAAACAGTTTCTCTTTTTGTGTCTGTGAGAAAAATGAGATGTGCCAGTGTCGCTGATAGACGCTTTTAAAAAGTGCCAAAAAAAAAAAATATATATATATCAGTGCTGCGCAAAGAAACTCCCACCTGTTTTTGTCAATGCTAAAACTAAGCATTCTTGTAACGCTAAAAAAAATTTTTTTGTATACACGTTACAACAAAAAATAAAATAATCTACTACATGTGATAATCATGAAAATCGCGCATTCTGTACAGCCTCCACATCATTCATCAATCATCTACTCTACTATAATTATTAAATATTATTAAAAAAAAAAAAAAAATCATTAATATTATTGTACTATCCTAAGACATAGTAATCGTAAAAAAATTTTTTGTCTTGTGTGTATGTATGAGTCCAAAATAATGTAAAAAAGAATGTCTGAAAATGAGCCTGGGCAATCGAAAAAAAAATCCAAGAATTATTAAAAGCCAGAAGCTATTAAAGTTTTAAGAGTTTTGTTATGAGACTGATCGGTCCGCCGCGGCCTCCAGTTTGCAATTACCGTACCTTTATACCACGTGTCGTGTGTGTCTACCGAAAAAAAAACAGATTTCAAGCAAATTTAAAAATCTAAACCGTCGTGTTATATTAGAATTTGTAGTTTAAAAAAAAAAACAAAAAAAAAAAGAGTATACATGCAAATATTAATGTCGCATGAAAGAATGAATGAATAAATTAGCTACAAACAAAAAATCGACGAAAAAAATAAATAATGCTGTGTAAATAGTTAGAAATTAAGGCTAGGACTTTATTTAGGCGCGAGTGGCGTGAATTTCGAAGAAAGCGAGAAATCGCGGCGGGCCGCCGCCAATGTGTTGTTGAGACGCCCGCCCCGCCCCCCTCCACCCTCCATTAATACAAGCACCCCCATAACAAAAAAAAGGCATGTTGCAAAAAAAGGAAAAAAAAAAAAATTTCTTGATCCGAAAAAAAAACACATCTAGTGCGCACCTCTGTCTCTTTACTACGTAGCAGCATTCGTTTCTTCGCTAATGCGCTGCTTGCTCTTTCTACGTATTTATTGTACTCGGAATCATTCCTGATTCGTTATCGTTGCATGTAAACCCCCTCCCCCCACCCTCTTCCTTGGCAGATTGTTTCCTCTTGTGGTCGTGCACTCCTGTAGTCATTTGTTCATAAAGATTAAAAAAAAAAAAAAAAAAAAACAATAATAAATATTCTTCTCTCCCTATGACCAATTTTTATCGGACGTCTTTTTGGAAAGAAAAAAAAATTTAAATAAAATCCTTCAGTAAAAAAAAACCCAGCCCGCAAAAAAAAAAAACTAGCGTTGATATTCGTATACTGTTATTGCATAAACTACACATAATTATTATAGTAAACGATACATAAAGTATGATATATTTCTCTATCCATTAAGAAATGATTAAAAAAAATAAATAAATAAAAAACAAACAGTTATTGTTCCGGTGAAGTTAGGAAGAAAAGATTGTATACACTCACACTCAAATTACACATTCGTACACAATCACTTTCACATCAAACATGAATAAAATATAGAAAAATAAATAAAATATATAAAAAAAAAAAAAATACTGTACAAGAAAATACAAAGTAGCCCCGCATATTGCCCAGTGAGCACGTCATTTTTTGTACGCTTGGGAGTTGTGAGGTCGTCTGAATAAACATTGTCTGGTGAATTATATATCAAAATCTCTTATTATTTTATATATATATATATATATTACCATTTGTTTTTTCCATCCAATTCCCGATTTTTCCTTTATTATTCCATAAAAAAATTTATTAATTCAGTTTTATTTTAATCTTATTAAATTTTATTATTATTATTATTATTATTATTATTATTATTATTATTATTATTATTATTATTATTAATCTTATACATTTATTCATATTTTATCCTTTTTTCATTTTAAAAAAGAAATTTTTAATTAAATGTTGGGTTTTCAAACATTTTTAATTATCCAATTTTTTCTGATTGTGTTAATTGCAACTTGTGAACAAAGGTAAGTATTATTCTTTTTTGATTAAGATAGTAGTCAAGTTTTTTTGTTTTTTAATTTACTTTTAATATTTTTTTGAAATTTTCAAAAATAAAATTTTGAAATCTAATTCTTTAATATCACCTTCTTATAAAGTCTAAAAACCTTGATCTTGTTGAACCTGAAACTGTTGACGACCATCAAAAGTTAAAACATTCAGAGAAGCTACGCATATATATATTTCTAATAAACGATAATACAATCATTATAGTATCAGTATAAAATTCATTTTTAAAAAAGAACCTTGATTAATTTTGTCTAATTTAAATTTATTTTATCTACACGTGTCTATAGAGGTCCAATATAAAAAATATAATATAAATTTTTAAGTTTAAAAGAAATATTTATGATTAAAAAAAAAAATTGAGAAATTTTCTTTATTAAAAAATTGAATTTAGCTTTTAGAAATTTTTTTTTAGGAAAATTGAACGCTTTTCTTTTAAATGAAGTCAAATTTAAAAAGTAAAACAAACTTACTAGTGGAAAATTCAAATATTTACCTTTTACTGTAATTATTACGCAGTTGGGTTGAAACTAAGCTGCTTAGTTATTCAGCTTAAGGATTAGCCCCAGCGTTTGCATATATTAATATCTAGAGACATATAATGTAATTAAAAAATTAAATGACTCGCAAATGAAAAAAAAAAAGAAGTTTATTTATTTTTAAGTCATCAATATCTTTGACATTATCACCTTCACTTTATGACAGTTGAGGTCAAGGTGAAAAAAAGAGTTGATTACAGACAAAGAAATCAGAATAAGTGAATAAATAAAATAATATAACATTTTTTTAATTGTAAATAATAATAATAATAATTGATTAGCGTAGCTTCTTTGCATGTTTTAACTTTTTGGATTGAATGAAAAGAGCAACGTGTTCTTCTAATAAGGTATTCGAATAAATAATATATGTAGTTCTTATTCTTTTTCAAATGTAATTAAAAATAATTTTTGCAATGAAACTACGTATCGGATTTCAAGGGAACGGAAAAAATCGATTTTTTTTGAAAAATAAAAATACAAAAATTACCGACATAGAAATCTATTTTACCGACTGATGGTAAAGCAGGCATTTTTTTTGATAATGGTAATATAAAAATTACCGACATAGAAATCTATCTTGCCGACTGATGGTAAAAAAAGGTTTTTTAAATACTAATATGAAAAATTACCGACATAGAAATCTACTTTACCATCAGTCGATAAGGTAGATTCCTATGTCGGTAATTTTTTATATTTTCATTTTTCGAAAGAAATCAGTCGGTAAGGTAGATTATTTTTATATAATTATAAACGGAAACATAAAAAAAAAATTTTTCACATTCATAAACAAACTCTTCATTTGGAACAGCGATATGTTTCTCCAGAATAACGAAAACTTTCGCTGTTTTAGTGAAAGCTATTGCTGTTTCAAGTAAAGTTTTTTTTCGTATATGTATCATTTTATATTATTTTGATTAATTATGAATAAATTTAGTTTAATTAGTAAAATTGGCTAATAATCACAATAAAATTAGTTAATATTATTTTTTATTTTTGCTTAAATTAATATTTATTTGTTGAATTAAAGAAAAAGAAAAAAAAATTAAGACACCTACATAGAATCGCAAACAGTAGTCGCAGGTTTACGTAAAATCGTAAACAACTAAGAAAGCTCGTGGCACCAGGTGGGCGTCAGTTGCCTAGCAACCCTGCTTTCACAGAATATTGACTATATATATATATATATATATATATATATATATATATATATATATATATATTTTTTTTTTGCTTTACATTTGCTCTTTTAACCGTGATAACCATTTTATTTTCATACTGTATGTTTATAGATTTAAATTAATTACAATTTTAATTGATTACCATTGTTAAATAAATTCGCATATATTTTTTTTACCTTTATTGTTTCTTTTATTTATCTTTTGATAATAAATTGTATCGCCATAACAATGAAATCCGATTCTATTCGCAGTTAGTGCGTATATTAAATCCAATTAATTTTTTTTGTCTTATTTTCTACCCTCGAGACGAGTTTTTTTTGTTTTATTGTCAATTTAATAATTCAGTGCGTGCTGAGGCGATTTCACAAAATGTAAAAAAAAAGTATCTACCTTATATTTAAGGTCACAAATCTATTTTGTGAAAGGAAGACGCAATTTGACACTATGAAAGTTGAAACTTTTTTTCACCCTTCGTCAGATATATATCTCCTTAATGACTATGGGTCAGATTAGATTAGTGTGGCCAATGTACGCGAAAAAATGTCTACTTTAAAAAGAAGCAGAAAAAAAAAAATGTTACAAAAATGCATTCAAATATTATTATTTATAATTTCTATTCAAAATTTTCTTTTTTAAACAAAAATTGAAAAATATTTTCTAGATGAGAATTATTTTTTCATTCCCAAAGAAAATATTTAAAAGAAAAAAAGAAAATGAAATTTATTTCGAAAAAAAAATCAGGAAAAATGAAAGTAAACTTTTCATTCATAAAATCGACCTACGCATTTTATTTCATCACATGCGAATCTCCACGTGCGCTTTAAGTACACACAGCGAGAGAGAGGAGATCTTGACATTCAACTTCAATGCTCACGTCGAGCGATGCATCACTGATTGTGCCTGCAGTTTGCACTTTTAACGAGTGTTATAATCATCGCGCTTTTCAGAATATCAAACAATTTTTTTTTTTTTTTTTTGCCTATACCATTCAGAGCAGCTTTCATCTCATCGATTTTCAAAATATTCACTTTCTTTCGACAATTTTTTATTCAAACTCTAATCTCTTTATGTATTTTATTTTCACTCTATTATATACATGGATTTTGATCAGTTAAGAAAAAAAAATTATTTTATTCCCAAGAGTAAAAATAGCTGTTTTTCCCCCTAGGTCAGAAAAGTGGCGTTTTATTCCCTAGGGTAAAAAATGACTTCTTCCTATGGTTCAGAAAAGTAGTATTTTATTCTTTAAGGCAAAAGGACTTATTTTTCCTCCTAGTTTAGAAAAGTACAGTTTTATTCTCTAGGGTAAAAAAACTGCTTTCATTCCCTAGTTCGGAAAACTGGTATTTTACACCCTAAGGTAAAAATGTCTGCGTTTCTACAATTCAGAAAGTAATTATCCCTTGGGATATTACTGAACTGGGGAATAGGAACTATTTTTATACCCTAGGGAATAAAATACTAGTTTTCCTAACTAGGGAAAGAAAGGTATTTTTACCCAAGGGAATAAAACTACTTTTTTAAATTAGGGGGAAAAATCAGTCCTTTTACCACTAGGGAAGAAAATACTACTTTCTCAACACCTATTTTTACTCTAGGGAGTAAAATACTACTTTTCTGCCGTAGAAAGATAGTATTTTACTCCCTAAGGCAAACATAGTTGCTTTTCCCCTGTTTAGAAAGTAGTATTTTGTTGCCTAGTGGTAAAAGGACTGCTTTTTGCGCCCTTGTTTAGAAAAGTACTGTTTTTTGTTCCCTTGGGTTCAAAAAAGTAGTTTATTCCCAAAACTTTCTTTCCCTAGTTCAGAAAAGTTGTATTTCACTCCCTAGTGTAAGCTTTTCTTCTCCCTGGTGAAAAATATTAATTTTCACCTCCTGATGTTAAGTATACAAACGATGTAATCATCAAAAAAACTTCGAAATATGACAATCAATGAATGAACAAAGGGTGATTGAATGATTTTGAGGCGAGTTTAACCCTAAATTCGTCACTTGTAAGGATGTCCCTGGTAGCGGAATAAATTCCCAGACTGGACTGTGAGTTTTAGCCTTCCAGAACGCCCTCGCTCCCTCTAACTTGTCTTTTATCTTTCTCTTTTCTTTTTCCCCTCTCCGTTCCTCTCGTTGATTCCTCTCCTCTCTCACAAACACACATACACACAAGAATAATGCGGGGCCAGGCTAAAGAGCGCGTTCAAGGTCCAACCGAGGTCGCAGACACAGCCGACTACCCTCCCCAACCAGAAACTCCCCCCTGTCAATGCAGACACAGGGGGAGAGGGTGCCAAAGGAGGGAATAAAAAAAAAAATAAAAAAATAAAAACGAAGAAGAAGAGAGATGAAGAAAGTGGATTCAGAGGGAAGGGAATGAAGGATAATGGTAATGGCTGATGTTAAAAGCCCGTTCGGTGTTTGGAGTCTCTTTCTCTCTCTTCAATGAGACTTTATATGATACTCCTCCCACTTGACGTGGTGGCCTCGCGCACGATATACCCACAAGAATAAGATCGTTGTTTAACCGCAGGTCGCTTCTTCTTCTCTTCTTTCTTTATGTTTCTTTCCTCCTCTCTCTCTCTCTCTCTCTCTCTCTCTCTCTCTCTTTTCCCGAGTTCCTTTTTTCCTTTTCTTTCATATTCCTATAGTTCGCAGGGTCACAGACTCTCTTTCTGGAATCTAGATCGACCTTCAGAAACATCTCAATGTCCCCTCTTCTTTCTGTCTCTCTCTCTCGTCCTTTTTATCTTGACTGACAAAATAAAAGATCAATTTTTATCCTAATATGGAAAATCTGGAATAGATATATGTTTTTCTAGAATAGAGAAAACTTTCGCTATTTTAGTGAAATATATCGCTATTCCAAAGATTTTTTTTATACTTGTTATGCGTTTCCAAACTGACATGAAATTCTTCTAATTTTT